ACAAATGCAACTTAAGTTAAAAAATAAATAAATAAAAATAAGAACATTCAATTTCATTCAGATAACCGCACAAGACAATCCGAAAACCAACAACAATCAAAATAATCAATAATAGATAGCAAAATTTCATAAACTCACATTCGAGTCTGAACGACGTTACAGACGAACTTCGTTAACTGAGCAATAGATCCCTTCTGCAAATTTATCCGTTCGGACCAATTCGTTCTTTTGGGTCGCCAGCATTGCCTGCTGGAGAAGCGGCCCATCCGATAACAGGATCCGATACTGCTCGTTATTGCTATTCTGGTTCCAAGAACTTGTATCAAAATCTGCTCATGATTGGAGAAGCGATCAATTCGTTTTTAGACGAGACAGACTGGAGAGATGAGAGACGGAGGGAGAGACTGAATTTTCTAGAAAAAAACCAAATCTTGCTCCACCAGTTGCATTTGATTGCAAATATGATATTTGTATCTATTATCTTATATTTATTTAGATGAAAATTATCAATTAGATACGTTTGATTAATTTATTTTTTAATCTAAAAAATATTATATTTGTTCATTTTTTATTGGTAGAGTGACGAGAGAGAAAGAAAAAGTAAATTATTTGAAAAATAAAATCTAATCCCTTAAAGAAAATATTTTTTTTAATTTCGAGGAAAATATGGTCAAGTAATCGAATATAGAAAAATATTTTTCATAAAAATATCAATCAAACGGTATAAAAGTAGGAATTCTGGTGGAAAAACACATTTCCATGAAAAATATTGAAATCAAACCCTTAAAGAAAATATTTTTCTTAATTTTGAGGAAAATATGATCACGTGATCAAAAATAGAAAAAAGATTTTCATGAAAAAAATGTCAATTAAACAATACAAAAGTGAGAATTTTGATTAAAAAACATATTTTTCATAGAAAATATTGTCAATCAGATGCAATTTTTAAATTGTGAATTGGTACATGTTTGGTTTGGATTAAAAGTTGATTTTAATTTAAGTTAAAGTAAAATAATTAATATTAATCATATTTTTTTATGTATCCCACAATTTTCAATAACACATTTCCAAAATTTCTATCATAATCTATTAAAAAATTAATTTTAATTCTCATCAAACACTCTCTTGATTGTTTGTTTGGTTCATGGGAAGAAGAAAGGGGAGAAAATGGAGATTTGGAGGGAAAAATAAAACAAAAAGGGTTTTAAAACCCCAGCAAAGAGAGGCGGGATAATGGTTCCCTGCTTTTCAGGGGAATTAATTAACGGAAACGGGAAAATTAGAGATAAGGTATCCAATCTATTGAAAATGTATAATTTAGGGCCCTAATCTAATTTATTTTATCCTCAGTCCTCATTATTTCATTGTTTGTAATTTTTTATCCCTCAATCGGAGATTTTGTCCCTGTTTGAACCTCATTTTATGAAACCATTTCAATCATAAATTCTTCAAATAAATTAATTTTACATATAAATTCAAAATTTCTCAACAATTTTTCTTTTTTTTTTGGGCACATAACAACAACATTACACATCGATAAAAAAAATTAAAATGATAGAGGTTGATGGTTTTATTTTTATGTTCTTTTATTTATATCTGTAAATTTTCTTAATATAATTTATTTAAAACTTATTTTTATTTATTTAATTAAGAATAATAATTATTATTTTTATTTAATCAACTGAGAAACTATCGAAGTTTTTAACCTAAGACTGGGAGAAAATTGTCCTTTGAGGAATCTAAGTGCTCACAAAAACAAGGCTATTGTGATAAATCCATAAGTGGTGATTATACTCTCATCATAATTTTTTGTCCTAATTGGTACATATTAAAATCTAGATTTTAATATAAGTTAAAGTCGACAATTCATTTCAACCATATATTTTATGAATTCCGTAATTTTTTAATCACACATTTCATCAACTCCAATCAAAATCTACCGAAATCCATGCCAAACAGAGACTAACTATTTCATTATTTTTTTTTAAATTATAAAGATTCCTCCTTTTGATAAGTCCAAAAAAACTCTATTCAGCCTCCTCAAACTATTCTCTTCTCCTAAGAACTCTAACTTGGTATGCAAGCTCTCTTAAAGATGATTCTAGACAAGTCGATTCAATTGCAACTATTTCGAAAAAAACTATCTATCTGGCAGCAATTTTTCATCCTAAAAAAATCAATTTTTTTTACCTTTATTTTATTATTCCAGTCATCATTTTTTAATTCTTCACACACAGATGAAATCCATCTTTCTCTCTAATGGTCCAAAAATTAATTCTCATAATCACTACTGAACATGTCATATATGTCAGGGACATGCTTCCCAAAAAAGTTAATGCCCTATGGTTGGATTAATCCACATTATGACATTTATATCTTTAATTTGTTTTTGTTGCATTCTTATTACAACACGCTATTAACTGGCTTGTGATATCAATTGCAAGTACGTCTTAGTTCAATTTTGTTAAAAATCATAATTTTAATAGATTTTGATAAGAGTCGATGATATTTATAATTGAAAAATTAATTAAAAAAATGTGGGATTAAAATTGATTGTTAATTTTATTATCAAATTTTTAAATAAACCGAATAAGTCCCTTATTGAATTGAGGGAAAAAATGAATGAATTGTCCAAATGGTCACTGAACTTTGCAAAAGGGTTTCAAGGAATTATTGAACTTTAAAACTCATCTAAATGGTCACTGAAATTTGTAAAAAGTTTTCAATGGTCACTGAACTTTAAAAATCTAAATCATCTAAATGGTCACTGAATTTCGCAAAAGGTTTCTTAGTGGTCACTGAACTTTAAAAATCACATAAATGATCAGTGACCCCTATGAAACATTTTACAAAATTCAATGACCTCGTGAAACTTTTTTGCAAAATTCAATAATCATTTAAGTGATTTTTAAAGTTCAGCAATTCCGTAGAAATTTTTTATAAAATTCAGTGATCATTTAAGTGATTTTTAAAGTTTAATAAGCATCCGGACAATTCACACAGAAAAAAATATATCATAAACAAACCCAATTATGAAAGGCGCGTATCGAAACTCACGCCCGTTTTAAGTCACACATAATTAGGGGGAACAATCGGCTAAGGGTTTTTCCGTTTGTATGATTGTTACACCAAAAATTGTGAAAAGTTCAGGGTGAAGGAGAGGTAAAAGGGGGACCAATATATCTTGTGTCTCAGTCTCAGTGATTTCTACTCAATTTCTTCATCTCCAAACTTGGAAGGTAGTATCAGATTTTATTAGTGTAAAAACGGGTTTTATATGTTGAAATCTCACTCGATCTGATTCCTGTGAGTGATTTAATTTCAACTTAACGCCGTTTAATTTATTAATTTTTTTCGAAATTGTGGTTTTTAGATAGTAATCTTCCTCTGGCAACAGTGTTTTTCTCGAAAACATTTCGCTTGAATTTTTGATGTGGTTCTTTATGATTTCTCCTCGCCCAGTGGCGGCAGTTGCCCCCACTAGACCCCAGGTGGCTTTGTCCCTGATTGCAACTTAATTCTGTTGTTTGTTTCTTTTGTAGGATACTACGATGGCCCAGGACAAAATTTTAGCACTTACGGATCAAGTAGTCGCATCTCTTAATGTAATTTTAGATGCGATTAAGGTGGTTAGAAAGGAACAGGTCGAGCAGCTCGATCCTATGATCATCACACAAGCTTCACCTGACAGTAAATTTCCCCTCTTTATCTTTTCTTGTTATTTGCTTTAAAACAATTTATTTTTTATGGATTGCTACTTGACATGCTTTGAAGTGATGTTAGCAAATTAATTCATTGGTTTCAATTTATTTAAAAAAAAAAAAAAAAAACTTGTTTCACGGCATGCCGGTAGGATGGCAGAAGACTGGAGTACGTGTGAAGTTCAAAAAATATAATGGGTATAGGAATTATTAATTGCTTAAGTTAATTTTTCTCCAAAATAATATAAAGAATCAAATTTTTTTCGCAGCTATTCAACCATAAATAGTTTATAGTGAACATGACACTTGAAATTATTTTGAGTTTGAGATTAAACAAATTGAGCTATGATCCCAAGAATTGAAACTAAAATATTGTTTTTCCCCCCCTCAATTGAAACATTTATTAAATTCACAGTAAAAACTTTGTCCACCTGTTTAGTTAAAAAAGAGCTTTATGCTACTTGGGTGGAAATGCATCTTTTTATGGTGTAATGATATGAACACATCTTTATTACGTTTTTAGCATTGGTGTACACAGCATATTATTCCCTGAGATAAAGAAAATAGTTGAGAATTTTATGGGTTAAATTCACTCACCAGTAGCGGATTATGAGAGGTGTAAAGCTGTGTCATGGGGTGGTTTATTAAGGTATTATGAAAGGTAAAGTTGTCAATACTTCTGACTAGGGAAACGAGGGTGTGTTGGTATGCTTCTATTTTGGATCATTTTCTTGATGCAACGATTGTGTATTTTATACAGATGGGCCACAGAGAAAATTTTCAATCACCTCAGGACCAAGTAGTGGCCTGCCTCATCCAACCCTGATCAATGCCCATTCCTCTGCCTCAGAGGATCCAAATGTTGGAACATTGGATTCTATCTTTCAAATCTCCTCAACAAGACCCTCAATGATAATTTCTATACGTAAATGTAAAAATAACCAGATTATCATAATTCAAGGAAACTGTTTTGTTAAAATGAAATAAAAACCCGAGTCAAATGCTGCTTGTATACCAATGCATGACAACTTAATGCTCTACATTAGATAGTGATGGTTGTACTTGCTCATTCACGAGAAAGAATTCTTTGTAGTTTGTATTATCTCTTGCCATTTAAGTCAGTTTGTAGCTAGACAAGCTCAGCTTGGCCAATTCTAGGTTTTGTGAAGTTATAAAGCTTGCATAAACAAGCTATTCGAGTTTGGTTTCTTAGGACCTCAAAGCTAAGTACTTTATCAATTTTCCTGTTCAACTCAACTCATTTACATTCCTAGGAATGGTAGTGTTGGAAGAGAATGTGCAACATGGTGGATAGGACTAGTTTCTAGTTAAAATAAACCAGTATTTTGCATTTAATGATGATCTGAATGTTGACCTTGAAGTAAAATATAAGGAGTTTTTTCTTAAAACTAAAATTAGAACCTTATCTTTGATCGATAACTCTGCCCATAGTTTTAGAATTTCTTATCAAGTATAAGTTTATTTTATTTGTTTAAAAAGCTTTTGGAAGTTACAAAATCTCCAAGTTATACATAACGAATTACTCTACTTCAAAATTCTTAAGTGAGAATCATAGTTTGTTCTGGCTCGCTCCAAACCATGTACTGTCATAAGATGTTTTATGGATGGGAACATCCATATTTACCTTTTGGAAGAAAAAATGAAGTGTTAGATATTATGGTTTTTGAATATGATTTGTCATCATCACATTCCCTATGTTATTTTATGTTCGCAAGAAAATAGTACTTAAACCTTCAATAAGAGAAACTACGCGTATTGCATAATATGTTTCCAGATGCTGTGTACTGGGTCAAGTCCCTTCTGGTGCAATTATCCATCAACTTTGGAGCCCTCCATAATTACATACCCTTTGACCAAAATTTGATGTTTTAGATATAATTTTTGGATGTGATTTATGCCCATCACATTCTTTATGTTATAATATATTTGTAAGATAATGATACTTGAACCTTAATATGCAAAACTGCACATATTGCGTAAAATGGCTCCTGATGCTGTGAACTAGGTCAGTCTCTTCCGGTGCAAATATCAATGTACTTTGGAGCCCTTCAGTGCCTAATCTTCTCTTTGCTTGGTTGATGAAAGACACTATTGGTCGTAAAATCTTCATGTTGGTTCCCAAATTGTAGATTGCCTTGGTGGATTAAATTGTTCTGTCCTTGAGCCTATTGATGTTGCAATATTCAATGCTTCATATGATTTTTACATTTAACGTCAATTTATGGTAGGTCCGCTGTCGGTGGAATCTTCATCTATGGATGTCGTTGTATTTATCAGTAGCTCATTTGAACTTCCCAGTGACCAATTGCTTGTGAACATCTCAAGAGTGTTAAGGGCTGGTGGAACTGTTCTTCACTGGACTTCTCAATCTGCTACTGGGAAAGTGGTAATTTATTACAAGATATCATTACTCGGTGAATTAACTGGTGACCATCTTCTTCCAGCCATTGAATGTATTTAGTTATTTATTTATGGTCTTGTTGCAGACAGACTCTTCTCTCAAGGGCAAGTTCCTTCTGGCTGGTTTTCTTGATGTACTATCTGCTGAAAATGGCCAGTCCTTTTGGGTGCATCTCTAACACTCTCTCTATGCTATTTTTGCTCTTATGCACACATGGACAGACACACGGTCCCTCCACCTGCAGTGTTATAAATTTGGCCTGCACAGCTGATCGACCAGAAACATGGTTAGCTGGATGTTGGACCAGTTGGAGTCATACCAGTTAAACCTCCTTTTGCCCAGGGTTTTGTAGTCCGTTGACGTGAACCGGTTTATCTAACTAAGTCGGGTTCCACATCCCTTTTAATGCATTGTCCCTTTATAATACTACCCCTGTTTCCATAATGGATTTCCTGAATGCTAGACTGAAAAAATGAACTCCTCTATCATCTGCATAAGGGCTTTCGAGGCCCGTACACTAATATTTATATAGTCTTTTGATAACCTTGAGTTTGTTTTATATCATTTTCATCAGAACTTGTGGTTCAATAGATTACTCACAAGTTGAATTTACCTGATGACTTAACCTTTTGTTGGGGGTAATGGCCGAGCTTTGTAATTATGTTCTGTTGCTTCTGTGGACAGTGTTTTACCATCCTCATTTTTGAAATAAACTGCTCCCAGTTTTCCTTGTCAATTGTTAATATGAGAGTTAAGCAATCCATCGCAGTCACTGAAGGGTTGAAGCGTGCTGGTGCCACTAGTATAGATGTTATTCATCTACAAGCTATGGACACAATTTTTATATTTATATGTTGTGTCTTATTGAAGCTTTTAGTTTTTTCACATTTTGGTTGTGTTTATTGAAGCTTTTAGTTTTTTCACATTTTGGTTGTGTACATTATTCCTAGATACTTGTGTAATTTCATTTCATGATTCCAACCTTGATATTCTGATTAATCCATTGAAAAACCAGGTAGTGGCTTGCATTATTAATTCATGTTGCAAGTTTTATTGAACATTTCATAAATTGTTTTATTCTTTTGTTTCCATTTTAGAAATTGATTTGGCCTCCGAATATTGTTTTGTATGCTGAAAATTCCTGAATTTTATAGTCTTTTTCCTCAGGTTATTGGCAAGAAACCTTCGTGGAAGATTGGTTCATCCTTTTCTATTAAGAAAACATCGCAGTCTCTACCCAAAGTGCAGATCGATGATGATATGGATCTGATTGATGAAGATAGTCTCCTAACTGAAGAGGATCTAAAGAAACCCCAGCCACTACCTGGTTAATCAGAAGCATCCACTTCTTTGTTTTTAATTTCTGCAATGTTTTATTTGTAGCTTTTATCGTGCTAGTTGCACTTGCTTCTGGAATAGGTGATTGTGAAGTTGGAAGCACAAGGAAAGCCTGCAAAAATTGCACTTGTGGACGGGCTGAAGCAGAGGAGAAAGTGCAGAAGCTTGGACTTACCATGGATCAGCTCGATAATCCTCAATCTGCTTGCGGAAATGTTTGTTTAATTTGATAATGTCGTTTCTATATCAAATAATGTTTACTGCCACATACTGCAGCATTTATAAGTTGATCATATAAGGGAAAATATAAGAAAAATCCTTATTCTGGTTATCTTAGATACTCTAGTAAGTATGGTTACTGTATAATAGCTCATCTCTGTCTTGAAAAAGCTGAATTGGGCTACTGCTATGATGTCTGCTTGTCACTTATTATGGCACTTCAGTTGACCTTAGGAGTGTAAGGGAGTTGTTGTATAGAAGAACTTGTGGCGTATTGCCAATTCACTATGAGGTTAAACTTGTCATCACCTCATTGTAGATTTAAGAAATTAATTAGTTAGGCAGGGCTATTTTTTTCAGTCTACTACATATTTCAAATGGAAGAGGGAAACTATTGTTATAAGAGTGGATGGAGAACAGTGATAGCATAAGTACACAACTGGACTGGGATACTTCTCTCTTTTTTTCTGAAAGGGCAACTACATTTGTTGAATGTTAGATAGGTGGAAGAATTATACTTATTTGTTCACATATATTGGTTTACGCTTGGATCTTCATTACAGAATAAAGTTGAAATGAAGATCTATGATATATATGGGATAAATCAATTTTAAAAAATCATCGATCAAATTCATGATGAAATGATGTAATTAGGTATACTCGTATAAAAAAGTGTTCTAATTTCTCTAGTTATTATTTTTACAGAGCTTGAACTTGATAATTGTCAATCCATGCCTGATTATTGTATGCTTCTGGTTATTTACTGTTATGCTACAATGAAAAATATTAATATGTAACAATATGGTGATTTTGGTGTTCTTATCCAACTTGTGCAAAGATGTCATTACAGCATGAGTTATGATTTGTTGATATGTGATCATCAAGTATCTATTGTGAAGCATTCTTTTGTGCTTTGTTGGTGAAACTATTGGTTTTGTTTCCTATTCCTATCTAACCCGTGCATTCTGTTTCTGCAGTGTGGTCTAGGTGATGCTTTCCGGTGCAGTACATGTCCTTACAAGGGTCTTCCAACATTCAAATTAGGCGAGAAGGTACCTCTCGAGCATTAAATTGATAGATTCCCACCTCCAATAAGATTCACTCGTACAAGTTGCTCATTCAAGATTCTAGAGTTTTCCACTTGTTAGTTAGCTAAGAGTAAAAGGGGAAATAGAAATATAGTAGAGATCTAAGCCTCTCAAATGCTTGGAATTGTTCTGTCAATTTCTATTTCCAGTTTCCATGCATTTCAATAAATCTATTTACAATTCAGCAAATCCTCACAGTAACAAGCCTCAATTATCAGCCACTTCAGTAGATCGAAATCCTATTACAACATCTGTTGCCTAACATTTCTCTTAGATCAGCAGCAGCCAGCATCTGAGGCATTAGTATAATCCATAGCAGCAGCAGGGGAATTTCATTAGTCAAAGTACAGTAGCTGGGGATCCTATCATAAATATGACTGCTTCCATTCTCTTTCCTAGTACTGTTTTCAGACCCAGCGTTTTTCTGTGGACCCTAAAAACATTTGACAAAATCAGAATCTGGCAATTTCCAGAGTCATCCTTGCATAAATGCAAAATGTTCTCTTTCTCCTCTGAAGGCATTATTTTTTACAGATGGGGGTGGCCTCCTGTAGCCTAATAATGTTGGTTTTTCTTGGATGTTGTAGAAGGAATATGAGGAATTTAATGAGCTAGGCAACACAAGATGGAAAAGAGATGTTTAGGGATCTTTTTGTTTTGATCAATACATGAAAGACAATGGGTTTATTTTCAGTGAACATGAGATAGTGTAAGCTGCAAGGAGTGAATTTTTGGTAGTGCTAGGTCATTTGTTTGTAGTTGATAATTGTCTTCGACAGATTGAAATAGAGAATCTCTACTAGCGATATTGGGAACACATTAAAACAAAAGAAGAGCACATGTAGGATTGATACTAGGTTTACCTATATTTTATGGCTTCAAGCAGTGGTTTCGTCACCCACATGGTTGAGCTTCAGTATTCTGGATTATCGATTAATTGATCTTATTTGAATTCTATAGTTATGTTTCCATATGCAGCCTGTTAATTTTGTAAATCTGAACTTGAATTAAAATTTGACACTCTTTGTTAATTCATTATTGTTTAATGTACTTGTTTGTCCAAGTATAAGATAAACATTGCTGATAATGTCTGGAGCTATCTGTATAACCTTTGGTGCATGATGGGGTAATTTGTTTATACTGATAAGGCACATAAAGTATTGCTTTCGAAAGTTCCTTCTTGTTTCTCTTCCTTTTTTGATTGTTAAACTGTGACAAATCCTCAACCATTTCACCATCTTTTTGAACTTTGTGTGTAGTGAACTGTTGAAATATTGTAGTATTATTTGTTTGACTCATTATATAACCATACCTAGGTTCTACATTGATTCCATTTTTATATATTACTCTTATGATCTCTTTTTATGGGAACGTAGTAGTGTAACCTCAAGCTTATTGGGATTACAGGATTACTATTTTTCATTCTGTTGACCTGTCAAATTGAAGCTTCTTTTCTTAACCATGACTCCGTTTGACATGACGCTACTCTTGGTTCTGTATTGCAGCACGTGTTTTATTTTGCTCTTGATTTTGATTTCACTGTGATCAAATGCACACGGATGGATTCTTGATGAAATCAACTTTATTTTTCATAGTTATAGTTCCTTGATGTCAACGAGGTTTTTTCACTGATGTCTGATTTCATGATTATCTTTCATATGGTGCAAAAGCTATGCTGAGCATTACTTTTGTTTGACAGGTAACTTTGTCTGGGAACTTCCTTGCAGCTGACATTTAATTCACAAGAAGTTGAATCTGGAATTCGTAATGTGGTTGGTATTGCGAAAAGCTATGCATACGGTGTAGGTTTTTTGGATCATTGGATGTCAGTGTCTTTATGCAGAAAATGAAGTAAATAAATTGTCCCGAAAAGTTTCCTTAGATTGAAAAACAAAAAATCAAGAACTTGTATGGTTGATACAATTGTCAACTTCGTACATTTGCATTCAGAAGTGGATGGTATATGACACCCATCAATGTTATTTACATGAATGTAATTAGTTTTTCTTAATCTCATACATTATTAAGGGATGGCTTGGTAGGGTTTTTGAAAAGTTAAAAGTTGTTTTTGAGCATGCTTGGATAACTTTTTGGAAGTGTTTTGTTGAAAAGTTTTAAGTTGGCATGAGATAACTTCTTTAGGCTGCTCTATTAAGCCCCCGTTTGGTTTTGATTTTTCAAGTCAAAAAATTAAGTTTTTAATCGTTACTTAATTTCGACTTCTTCTTTCACAGAGGAGATTCACTTTTCTCTAACAGTAAAAAATTTGGTTCTAATGATCAGTACCAAACAAGTCCTAAAGGAAGCAGAGCAAAAGCAAAAGTTTTGCCAACATGGTCATAGGCCAGTTTTTGAAGTTGAAGTTCCTATTTTCTAATATCTTGAGTGTTAGATTTTGCAGTTAATTTTTTGTTTTGTAAATTGAAAGTGTTTGTATTCAAAATATAAATTCCGTTGTGCCGTGGACTCTGTATTATGCCAGCAAACTGATTTGGGGAATTTCTCATCCCAATGTCCTATTGGTTTTGGACTTGTATAGTATTGAATTGGGAAGAAAGGAATTCAATTTTTGGCATGATTTTCAGTGTGAATTTCTGGAACTTATTTTTAACAAGAAAATGTTATTTTTTAAAAGCTTGTTTACTAAAATAAATTCTCAATTCTATATTGCGGTAAAAAATGAAAAATATATCGTATAAATTATCATAAATTTGTAAACAGTATCCAAAATTTAAATAAATTAAGATGAAATTTTGAATTAAATAAATTCCCAAATGTCTGATTTAATAATTGTTTTATTAATTTTTTATTATTTAATACTTAATTGAGGTTTGAAACAAAGAATTAGAATTCGACGGGAGTCCATTCTCTAATATTTTCCTACATGAGAAAAAAGGAAAACTACGACAACAACTATATTTTAAGTTTACATTTAAATAATTAGCTATAAAGAATTTTTTATTTTTTAAATTAGGTGCACGCTCCAACCATTAAAAAATCTGTGACTCTCCCTTGCATCTTCGTTCATTGGCCACCACGAACTCAACAACCATCGTCACCAAAAACCATCCTGTTATTGTCTACACCTCACACCACTCTCGCTTTGCTTATCATTTAATCAATTTGTTAGAAATTTATTATTAATTATTTGTATGAATAAGGCTTTTATCTGGTGATTAGAGAGTTAGCTATTTTCTACCTCCACTTTAGGATAGTCTTACTCTATTGTGTTCGTCCACCACTTGTTGCCAACCCCATCATCGACTCCTAACTCCCCTCCTCTGATATAGCAGCCATTGAGTCCCTTCGCTTTTTCACTGATGACTGTTGGTGCCGGGCTTATTTGTGAGCGGTAAAGATGGTTGTTTGTGAGTGCATTTTAAATCACAAATTTATGAAATGGAAAT